GATGGCACCGATAAAAGTCACAGTTTTCACAACCTTTTTGTTCTGTTCTTGAGGTCCTTTTGCTACAACTGTTTGTCGCCATTTTGTCTTTTTGTTAAGTTTGAAAACGAAAACAATGGTGCAGCACACGACACACACGAAGGACAAGGTGTGGACGATTACACCTTTGGTCAGATACATTGAATCAATGATATTGTACGTCTCTGAGTGAGTTAGTGTTTGTGTTAGTATTGATGTGTTTCTGGCTGGATCAAATACCCAGGACAGTCTGTTAAAGTAGAAGAAAACCAAACCGTCGCACATGACAAAGAACATAAAGACAAGGATAATCTTAGTCTTCCGTGGCGTGATAATATTTTTAACCTTCAAGGGTGCAATGATACACAGACATCTCTCGAAGGTGATGAAAGCGGTCATCAGAGCAACGATTCTGTAGAGATTAAAAAAAAAAGCCAAATGTATCATTAAGCAGTAATTTCATCAAGAAAACTAAGGTATCTTACCATGAATAAAATAATAGTATTTTCCAAGGATGAAGAAAATTTCTACAAAAAAACTTCCTATTTACAGATACATGTATAAAATGAACTATATTATGTTCGTGTGTGTGTGTGTGTGTGTGTGTGTGTGTGTGTGTGTGTGTGTGTGTGTGCCAATAAAAACGCTACTTCTTCGTTCGCAGAGTCTGTACACATTTATATCAAATCAAGATAGATTAAATGAAGTGTTTATTGAGGTTTATTCATTTTTCAACCCATTTGGACCATTTTAATCACATACTTTAACTGACTTCGACACATTGTTTTCCTTCTTTTGGACTACCCCCTTTGGACAAATTTGCAGATAAACACACATGGAAAGGTAATAAAGGTCTTTTTGTTTGTTTTTGTAAAATGTTTTACGGCACTCACAACTGCATTATAAGGTCATATGAACGCGCGGGACACACCTAATATTTTCCATTGGTAGGAAATTTTGAATTTTGCCCGGGTGGCGGCCGAAGCCTACTCTTATCGATTTTAGACCACCAAGGGATCTTTAACGTGCGCAACTTGCCCTCTGAGATTTTTCGCCCTTGTCCGAGAAGGCTAGGTGTAGATCTTTCCTACCAGAAGATCAGAGGTGTGGCAGAAAGACAGCAGTAAGGAGGAGCCAAGGAGTAGCAGTTGAAAGGCTGCAGAAAGAGTCAAGAGCCCAGAGGAGAGGGCAAAGGAGGTGAGGGGGTAGGGGCAGAAAGTGGAAATGAAAGCAGACAACAGAACATTGCTAGAGAGCAGGAAAGGAGGTGAAAGGAGACAATTTTAGAGAAGAAAATTTTTGGTCGCTACCCGGATTTGAACCCGGGACCTTTGTATGAGAGGCCAACACCCTAACCTCTAGGCCACGTGTGCCCCCAATAAAGGTCTTTCACCCTTAGTAAACTGTATGGCTATCATCAACATGTAAAAAGATCAGGCAACGTCATCACCTGGGTTTTTATAACTTTCCCAGTGACTCCTCCTGTATAAAGTCAAAGTGGATATGTTGAATTTTGTCCGAAATGTGTGGGGATCTCTTCCATTCATTTCTTAAATAGTTTTTGGGTAAGTGTATTACCGCGCTCGAAACTGCATAAAGGCTTATGCGCGCGGGGCACACGAAACTTTTTCAGTTTGTCGAAATTTTTGAATTTTGGCCAGGTTGCGGCCGAAGCCTACCCTTATCGATTTTGGACCACCAAGGGATCTTGAACGTGCGCAACTTGCACACGGGACATCTAAGATTTTTCGTCCTTGATCGAGCAGGCTAGGTGTAGATCTTTCCTACTGGAAGATCTTGGGTGTGGCTGAAAGACAGTAGTAAGGAGCCAAAAAGTAGCAGTAGAAAGTCTGCAGAAAGAGTCAGGAGTCCAGAGGAGGGTGCAAAGGAGGTGAGGGGGTGGGGGCAGAAAGAGAAGACGAAAGCAGACGACAGAATATTGCTAGAGAGCAGGAAAGGATATGAAAGGAGACAATTTTAGATAAATAATTTTCTGTCGTTATCTGGATTCGAACATAGGACCTATTGAATGAGAGGCGAACACCTTAACCTCTAGCCCCCCCCCCCCCCAAAAAAAAAAAAAAAAAAAAAAAAAAAAAATTTTTAAAAAATCAATTATCAATTTACAGGAAAAGAATCCAACATAGATTTCACCATGCCACAAATACTAGATATCAACTAAGCCTTACTTTAAAAAACACTGTTACTCAAGTTTTATTCTGTGAATAGTAGAAAAATAGAAAATTTCATTTTTCTATGTAAAAAAATGATATGTCGCGCCTTGTGGCGAAACGTCATAGGGCACCAGCTGTTGCCCAGAAAAGGGATTCACTACCTTCCAGGATCGAGCGAACTCAGAGAGACTGAGAGAGAGAGAGAGAGAGAGAGAGAGAGAGAGAGAGAGAGAGAGAGAGAGAGAGAGAGAGAGAGAGAGAGAGAGGGAGAGAGAGAGGGAGAGAGAGAGAGAGAGAGAGAGAGAGAGAGAGAGAGAGAGAGAGAGAGAGAGAGAGAGAGAGAGAGAGAGAGAGGGGGGGAAGAGAGATCAAATGTGACAAAAAGAATAGGTGGTCGTACCCGAAGAAGCACCTTCGTATTATCGCAGCAGTCACAAAGGTAAAACCTGCAGGGTCAACAGGCATCCCAGAGTTGATGGTCAGCGGGTTCATCGAGACGGATATCCACAAGCCGAGAAGTGATAAACACAGGTCACACACAGCAAGGCCTGGCAGGAGGACAGGATTATGAGATTATGCACAATGAAGGAAGAGACTACAGATAAGGAAAGAAGACAAGGAAAGAAGACAAGGAAAGAAGAACTAGGAAAAAAGACAAGGAAAGAAGAGGTTATAAACAAGGAACGAAGATATTATATTATAAGAGACTATAGACAAGGGAAAAGAGGCTAAAACAGCACCTGGACATGGATGGCTGGTGCCTCTATAAATAAATCATTAATGGTCAAGGTCAAAGGCAAGGAAAGAAGAGATTAGAGACACGGGAAGAAGAAACGGGACGAAGACAAGGAACGAAGACTAGAACTAGAACAGGAGAGATAATAGACAAGGAAAGAAGACTAGGAAAGGAGAGATAATAGACAAGGAAAGAAGACTAGAACAGGAGAGATAATAGACAAGGAAAGAAGACTAGAACAGGAGAGATAATAGACAAGAAAAGAAGACTAGGAAAGGAGAGATAATAGACAAGGAAAGAAGACTAGAACAGGAGAGATAATAAACAAGGAAAGAAGACTAGGAAAGGAGAGATAATAGACAAGGTAAGGAGATATTGTGGACGGACAAAGAAGAGCTCGAACGAGATTTAGAAAAGACGCAAAGCTGAAAGTACCTCATTCAAGTAGATTCGGAGCAAATGATCATGTGTGACATCTGATGTTGCACCGTGTAGCATCTCCTGCTGGTGCCCAGTAAAGTATTTATGTGGTAAGAAAAAAAAAATAGAGGATGCGAACAAAAAAAAAACAAGCAATGTTTTCTACCGTGTATTCTAGCAAGTGTCTGCCCGGAGAAAGGAGGGGAACAGCTGTTATTGAAGCACAGGTATTAAAAGAACAAAAATCCCAATTGGTTTCAGCCTTTGAGAACACGGATTCTGATCCTCCGGCATCACATGCAGGTGTGCTGTTTGGGAGCATAACTTCGTAATTCAAATATATTTTGTAGCTTGTTTTCCTTATCTTAAACTTTAATAGGCAAGCAACAACAAGCGCAAAATGGAATATGCAATTTCTTGTTAATGATCTGTGTATGAAGGTTGGAAACGTGCAGCAGCGTTGTCTTTGGTCTCTTACTGATCGGACAGAATTATGTGTCCGCTTTATTCTTTAAGAGTTTTTTAAAAGTCCACTAAAACGCTGCAAACCTTACCTATCGTCATCAGTCTTTCTGACTTCATGTAGGAGTCTTACTTTACTATACGTTATTCGTCCTCTTGTACCTCTAGGGCGTCCAGGGGAGAAAGAATTTCCTGCTTTTAGCAAGTTTGATGGCCCGGCTGGGTGGGATATTGTAGGTTCTCAGGGTATCCTTCACACCCTCGATCCAGGTCTTTTTTGGTCTTCCTCTTGCCTTGTACTCTGATACTTTCCTGTAGTATGCTTTACTGGCAAGCTGGGTAGGTGCCAGCTGCTAAAGGTGAACAAGGAAACGCATACAAGATCCCAAGAATAATATGTGGCAAGTGCCTCGGTGGAATGAGTGGACCAGTCAAGGACAAGACTGGCAAGCTGCTAACAATCGAGAAAGAACAGGAAGCACGCTGGACAGAACACTTCAGGGAAGTCCTAAACCAACCTCCTCCTGAGGACACCCCAGACATACAGGAAGCTACCTTGGATCTGGATATCAGCTCTGACCCACCAAAGAGACACAAGATTGTAAAAGCTGTTAAGAGCCTGAAATCAGGCAAATCTCCAGGAATGGACAACCTGAATGCTGAATTGTTTAAAGTGGAAGAACTGACTTCCACTATTCTTCAGCCACTATTCAAAACCATCTGGGAGGGAGAGCAGATTCCTGAGGACTGGAGTACTGGAGTCATTGTTAAAGTACCAAAGAAAGGAGCTCTTGGGGACCTCAACAACTGGAGAAGTATCACGTTGCTATCAGCGCCCAGCAAGATCCTGGCCAAGATTATTATTAATCGGATGTCGGATGCCGTTGACAGCTTAAGAAAAGAATAGGAAGGATTTCGCAAAGAAAGAAGATGCACAGATCAGATATTTGCCCTCCACAACATAAGAACAGTGCACGGAATGGCAGAGACAACTTTATGTCAACTTTGTTGTTTTTGAAAAGGCATTTGACAGGGTAGATATAGAAAGTCTTTGGTGCATTCTACGATCTTATGGAATACCTTGCAAGATAGTTGAGGTCATCAAGAGCTTCTACCAAAACTTCAAGTACGTCGTTGGAAACAGTACTACTGCTTTTGAGGAAAAGACAGGAGTTAGACAAGGATGCAACATGTCAGCAATTCTGTTCAACCTTGACATTGACTGGGTCATGAGGAAAACAACAGATGATACATTAAGAGGCATAAGGTGGACCCTCTTCTCCACCCTCGAGGATCTTGCCGACAACCTTGAACTACTCTCCCATACCAACCAGCACATGCATGAAAAAACAAACCAACTCCACAAATACGGTCGCCAGATCAGGTTAAAAATAAGCCAGAAAAAGACAGAAGTGATGACGCTGAATGAAGGCTCCCCAACGCTGATTAGGGTGAACAATGCAGACCTGCCTATAACAGACAAATTTACTTACCTAGGCAGCATAATTAAAAGTGACGGCGGCACAAAGGAAGACATCATGAACAGACTCGGCAAGGCAAGTCTTTACACAGAAGCATGGTCAACATCTGGAAGTCAGGACAGTTCAGTGTACAGACCAAGTTAAAGCTGTAGAACAGCTGTGCACTATCCACACTCCTATATGGATCTAAATGCTTGAGGATGACTGATCATTATTGTGCCTAGCTATCTTCTTTTCATACAACCAGCTTACGCCAAATCCTCTGAATCTTCTGGCCCGAAAAGATCTTCAACGCAGATCTTTTACGGAGAAGTAGGCAAGAGGACATAACCACCATAATAACAATGAGCAAATGGAGGTGGATTGGGCATGTTCTAAGAAGAGAACCAGACTCTATTGTAGAGACTGCCCTCCCCTGGACACCCGAAGGACATCACAAGAGGGGCAGACCCAAAGTGACCTGGAGACGCACAGTAGAGTCTGAAATGAAATCCTGGAACCATTCGTGGGGGACGTTGACTAAGATGGCCCAAAACAGAGAGAGAGAGAGATGGAGATCCTTTGTTGCTGCCCTAAACGCCAGATGACGTAACGGGTAGTAAGTAAGTAAGTGGTTATGTGCCATACGTGTGAGATGCATGAAGGAATATAATAAGCATAAGCTATCAACAGGAACTCTCATTCATTTCTATCTCCCGCTCTACCTTTGTCCATCTGTATCCCAACTGCTTTAAGTGTGAAGCTAATTCTCTCCTTCAGCTGTTTTTGGGCCTTTTTCTTTCCTTGTTGGTTCCATCTTAACGTTTGGTGAGTAATGTTCGTATTTTCTTTTTTCAATCTGTGTTCAATCCACCTCCATTGTCTATGTCCGCTTTCCTTATCCATTTTATGGGTACTAGCTTGCCCCTACAAGTGTACATTCTTTATGGCGTCAGGCCAACGGATTCTTAGGATGTTTTCTTAAGCAACTGCTGACATATTACAGTTGTAGCTTTTAGACGTTTGTTTTGTAAGATGCCTTGTTTCCGATCCATTATATCTTATACTTTTGACACTTGTGTTGAAAATCCTTGCCTTGGTTCCTATTTCTATAGTCCCTGTAATCCGTACCTTCCTTAGTTGTGCAAAAGCACCTTGTGCCTTGCCTATTCTTGTCTTGACATCTGCGACTGTTCTCCCACCTTGTCTACGATGTTTCCTAAGTAAGTCAAGAAATTGACTTTAAACCCAGTGGTGCTTTGTCCTAGGTGGTCTGATCACTCATGGTAGTGTTGATCCAATGTATCTTTGTCTTGTGTGGGTGTACTTTAAGGCATGTCATATACAAGATACAGTCGAACCTGTGAAAGACGGACCCTTTCCATTCCACCCCCCACCCTGTACTTTTTTTTCTATATAATTGATTGATACATTCACTGTGGAAAATGGTCACCCGTTCAACACGGCACTGCCACTCTATTTTGTCTACCAACAACAGAAAAAAACTTATGTATTGGCACTTGACGCTGTGTACGAGCCGTCATAATACATTTACCTGTCGTTATTGTTAGTCCCTCCAATGTCCGATCATGTTGGGTAGGTCCCGCCCACTATTATTTACCCAAGTTGACCACCAAGTAACATTAAATTTTCAGCTGCTGGTGAGGGAAACATGTGATCCGTCATAACTTATAAGCCCCACCCACAACACATGATACACAAATGGTAGGTGGGGTGACCGGTCACTGTTTGCCTAGTCTTTAACAATGGACGTGAACATGAACTTGTGACAGAAGCGTCGCTCGTTCTCCGAGGGGTGGCGACCTATTTGTTGTTTTTATCTTGACTTCCTGTCTACCACATTTCGTTGTGCTTTACCCTTGCCCACTGTCTTCCCCATTTGATAAACTTTGTGGAATTTAACACTTATTACAGCAGTAGTCGTGAGACGTCGTCTCTCTGCGTAAACAAATATGTTTGGTAAGCTCGTTGTCGTTCGTGAACTGTACTCGCTATGATGCACTGGTCTATCGTTTCGTCTGACGATGTCATTCGCGTGGTTTTGAATTTTGTCAAATACTGTTAAAATGTGTGGGTAACTGAAAACAAAAAGTACACACGCAAAGTTGGACTCCTTCCAAGTTTTCCCCCACATATAATAGTGGCTTCTCTTTTTCGATTTACCATGCTTTCGGCTGAATGAATCAGAAAGAAACTACATCACTGAAATGCTTTATGTGGGCACTCCACTGTCGTTAGTGGCGAGAAGGTTCAACATGAACAGACACATGGTGTATGCCACACGGGATCACATGGCAACGATAGGCTCTCAAAAGGACAGACCCAAGCGAGTAAAACGCAGAAAGACAAAACGGAGTGTGGGTTCATTTATCCTTAAGCAAGGCTTTAGAAATCAGTTTCAACCTACAAACAAAGGCCCTGGGTGCGTCGAAAAGACTTAGAAATGACAGTCCGAACTTTGTCATGACCGTTCTTTTTCGTTTGAAACATAGGAACCTTCGTGCAAAACGGCCTAATGTGTCGCATAAAACTGAGACCCAGCACAGACTTCACTGGGCACAGCGTCGCGTGGGATGGCCAAGGCTAAATCAACCCTGTTCTCGAGCCCAATGTACTTTTTTTTCAACATCAAGTCCATGGACAAGTATTCATGCATGATAATGCACCTGCTCAAAAGGCTGCTGTGACTAGAGTCTAATACATTTCTCAAAACTAACAAAGTTCCTCTCCTGCACCTATAACCAGCGCATTTAGGCCTAACCAAATTCCTATCCAATTGAGCATTTGCGGGACATTTTAGATCACGACATTCGTGCAACACCACGCCAGCCTCGTACTCCTTGCTCAGTTAGAACAAGCCTTAATCGAAGAGTGGAATATTATCCCTCAATAGGCTATACCTGGATTCATCCCGTCCATGCGTCGACGCATCACAAGCTACTGAAAGCTGTCACTTTTCATGTTGACCCCTGACAACTATAAACTCAAAATTGAAGATAAAAAACATTCTTAACTTTGCATCCCCTTGTTTCCCTTGTTGTAAAATGGATTCTATGTCTTATCTGAAATGTTCAGAGTGATTCGTTATGTATTAATCAAAGATATTGCCTTTAATATGAGGTGTGAAGTTTAAAATGTTAAAGAGTATTAT